GTGCATGCGCAGGTGTGCGTACAGAGACACACGCTTCAAGTCAAAACGTGTATGCACAGGTGTGTGCACAGAAACACTCGCCACATACACCCCCTCTAACTTCACGCATACGTGTGCATGCGCTTGTGTGTGCACAGAGACACCCCTTGCAAGTCCACGCGTGCATGCGCAGGTGTGATGCACGCGCAGGTGTGCGCACAGAGACATTCATCCTATGTACTGTCCTTAACGTTCTTGCGTGCATACACAGGTGTGCGGACAGAGACACACTCCCTTCAACTCGACGCACCCGTGCAGGAGCTTGCGTACGCGCAAAGACATTGATCCCGTACACCATTTGCACGTCGTTGCGTGCATGCGCAGGTGTGCGGACCGAGATACACTCACTTCAACTCGACGCATTTGTGCATACGCAGGTGTGCGCACAGAAACACTCATCACATACACCCCGTCTAACTCCACGCGTACTGAAATGATAGGGCCATGACTTTGCCCAGGCCCCCCGTCACACAAATGGCCTCACCCGGGCCCCCAGCGGACACGAATGAGCTGCTGGAGCGGACCTGGCCTTTGGATGCTGTCAATTAGTCCGTCAAGTTGTCACTCACCGCAAGATCTCGACAACACACTGGGACATATTGAAGGATGGTGACGGGAAGGGGAGAAGTCTTTCATGAATTTGCTGCCTGCCTGCCTGCATGCATGCAAATGCACTCCAGATGGAATGGCCTGATTTTCTACGTCTGTGTGCATGTAAGTTGGACGGGTCTCTTTTTTCCTCGGTCGCTCGCCTTATTCCTTATTCCATCCACGAAAATGTCTTGCTTATGAGTTCATCCATTATTCTGCCCCTCTCCTTTTCCTTCCATCTTTGCTTAGCTAGCGCGTGCAGACGAATGTACCTCGGATGCCTGCAGCAAAGGACGTACAGAGGGTAAGTTCTCTCCTGCATCATAGTGCCCCCTGTCTATGCTGGCAGGGCATGTCTCACAAACCCCTGTCATCGTTGGCGATACCCCTGTAGACCCCACTCTTCGGCCCCTTAAGCACCTCTGAGCCTGATGTTTGCGAAGGTCGCCTTCGGCCAATAAGCCGAGAAGATCTTCTCTCTCGGCCACAAGACCGACCTCTTCGACTTGAAAACGTCTCACCTCTTCTGAGAACAGCCATACACGTCATTGTAACATCGCTTTTCGAGAATTGTGACAACTATCGTGCTGACCATTGTTCAGCAGAGGAGACGACATGCCTTGACAACAGCCTTCAGCTTGCCAAGGAGACTACCCAACTCCACTAAGAGACCGTGTGGCTTATTTTGACAAGATCCCTCGCTTTCTGAAGAGAGAATCAGCTCGATGGGTGAGACAGATCCTGCAGGCCTGGAAAAATCCCCCGGATTCCTTGCAGTCTTTGTCGCTTACCTATACCTTCGTCTCCAACACCGGTCCCTGGATTATCAATCCCGTACCCCGATAAAGACATTCCACCCGCTGACGATCTCCTTGGGAGGGCCACAATCAAGCTGGCAGGACCGTGCAAAGTCACAAGGCATGCAGGTTGAGAGACACACTCATTGGGAGCATGCATGGTTCCCTTTCTCGTGTCAAAAAGGTGCTGCCTCTCGAGAGACCCAGCGATTCGTCCAGCCGGTGGCCGATCTTAAGTGAGAAGAAGCACTGTGACTTATGTCCCTGCGTGTATCAAGTGACGAGTCTTTCGACAATCAGTCTGACCTTGTCTTCCTCGCTCAGAAGGCTTCCGCGCCCAGAAGGCTCGCGGGTCAGATGACGTCCAGCCGGAAATCTACAACGTCAATGTCACTGTGTATTGGGTGAGTGTGAAAGCCATTCGACCGTCACATTAAGCGTCAATTTGTCGCAGCTTTAGGTGCTTGAAAGCACCAGAAGATGACCGGAGTGATCGATTTCAGCCTCGATGGCCACACACGAGTTTTGCCTGCTGGTGAGTAACCGGAGTGTGATAATCGCACCATCAATCTTGGCCATCGAGAGCAGTAGGGGCTCTAGCAGAACTGGTGTGTCTCGCATTGCGATTGATGTTACTCGCCAGGAGTGGAATCTAGAGCTCTACATGCTACAGACTAAGGCCATTTCCTATGTCTCTCCGTCCTCAACACTGAAAGCTGAGGCATTTTTCACAGGACGAAAGAGAAGACAGGTTGCGTGATAGACGGACAGCACCGATGGATCTGATGTTGTGTGCATTGACACGCTGCACTTTGAAGCTCAATTGGCCATCCTGAGAGCGAAACCGGCTCGATACCGAAGAAGACTGCCGTGTTGCGTTAAACGCATGGCTCAAGACCCAGAAGAACCCTAGGGACAGAATAACCAAGAACAGCAGGTATTGGCTATCTTTGCTCATCTCCTTGGTTGATCTGGCTGACATGCCCGGTGCGCAAAGGTGGTGCGTGAGACGAATCAATTGATGAGTTCTATGTCTACGTCAGAGAGAGCAGAAGGGCATGGGCAGCAGAGGTCCAGCTCTATGACACACAGAACGGACAACTCGTAGGAGAGGTAAACAAGATGATACATGACTGTATGCATCTTTTTCTCTCTCTCTGCAGGCAGTTCTTTAGGCGGACATATTGTGCTCTCTCGAAATAGTCAACTGGTCTTTGGAGATGGACAGACAAGCTCTAAGCGGATCCCTCACGTTTGGATGCTTGGCTCTGCAAGTCTCTCCCTCTTGCTAAAGGGGTCTCTTTACTCGCCGCCCATGCGTCCGCATATTTGGTAGCACCTATATGCTAGGACGCTGGGTGCTGTCGTGGTGATCAAGTGAGACATTAGCGATCTAAGACCAGAAGGGTCACCTTTTGTGTGCCTGTTTGTGTGTAGGGAGGTGTGGATTCCCTAAGCATCTATCGTCGATCGATCTGCCTTCCGATAGACGTTAAGAGAGATGCCCACAAATTCAGTGGTCTGTGCAACACTCGGCGGATCGCGACTGAGAGTGCAACTCTTCAAAAAGCTCTACATATTCGATCTAGTATAAGCAGGCGCAAAGAAGCACACAAAAATGGCTTGTCGTCACGTGTGCTCTTCGCCTATGCGTGTGACGTGCCAGGGATGAAGTAGTCACGGTGTTGGTCCAAGGCTTCAGCCAGCATCCTTCTCAAGGCGGAGGGATCGACCGGTGAATCCCGACAGCAAGCTGAAGAATCTACCCGAAGGTGACTTCTCTCATTGGCAGGGCACGTTGATGACAAGGTACATAGGTACATCATTCCTCATGCAAGCATCCATCTGTTACATGCTCTCCCTCTCAAGGGTGTGCTGCACTTCTACCACCAAATGGAGACACGAAGACACGAAAGCGGTCAGACTATCTGTTTGTGCGTGTCACACGACTCAGAGCTCTGAGGTAGGTAGCTGGCGTGATTGCTGCGTTTGCGCGAGAAGAGACCTTATTGCATGACAAACAAGCGACTGCAATGATGGTCGAGGACACAACACCCGTTGCAAGTGTTGCTAAACATCGATTGGGGATGAGTTTACATCCTCGTGAGTCACAGTAGGAAGAGTAGCAAGGTGTCTGGACCAGCTTCGGCAGCCAGTTTCTCTTCTCGGTTACCCTCACTGAGCTTTTTGCGGGTGATGTCTGGCTCCTCCACATCGGACTTCTTGATGACGCGGTTCAGGTCCTTGTGAAGGCCATCCAACAACGTCACCAACAACTCCCACACTCCCTTCAACTCGACGCATACATTTTTGTTCAGGTGTGTGCATAGATACATTCACCACATACACGCCCTCTAACTCCACGCGTACGTGTGCATGCGCAGGTGTGCGGACAGGGATACATCCTTCAAGTCCACGCGTGCAGGCGCTTGTGTGCGGACATTCATCCCATGTTCCGTTTGGACGTCCTTGCGTGCATGCGCACACCTTGCCAAGAGAGACACTCCCTCCTACTCGAGGCACTCGTGCATGTGCAGGTGTGCGCACAGAGACATTTATACCGTCTGCAAGTCCAAGCCTTCATACGCAAACATGCGCGCAGAGGTATTCATCTTATGTACCGTCTGCAATTCGACGCGCGTGTGTGAGGAGTGCGCCTGCAGTTGCTTCATGTGTGAAAAGAATATGTTTATGCGTTCACCTGCGCATACCTGTGGTTGGCCGGTGTGTAGAATGAACGGTTTTGTCCGCACACTTGCACACCCTTGTATTGGCTGGTGTGTGCGATGAGCGTATTTTTTATCTATTCGCCTGTGGACGCTTGTACTTGGTGTGTACAATGAATATCTCTGTGCGCACGCCTGCGCAAGCCTATAGTTGGGTGGCGTGTGCAATGAAAACCCTCCCTCAGATGGTGGAAGATGGGAAACTGCGAAGCGCTGAGTCTTCGAAGAAATATCCGCAATGCACATCCAGGCATGCAGAACCAAATAGCGATGGCCAAGGATTAGAGACAGACTTCACTGAAGACCTCAACATAGACGCTGCCGAATACAGAAAGGGCCCCAAGCGAGACGAAAACATAAGCTCAAAGCAGCCAAACTCCCAGGGCGGCAAGTCCACAACCTTTTTGGTGCAGAGGGACGAACTATGGGGGAGCACGTACAGCTGCATTTTTCTTCTCGAGATCTAGAGGTGCAGCGATGGGAGATGGCAAGGCACAAAGTCAGCCTAAGTTCGAAGGGTGCAGGCCCAGGACCCAATGGCATAGCGGCGTAAGTTCGAAGGTAATGTTGCGGAGTGTATACGCCCACAGCTGGACAGAGGCGCCTGTACAGGGAGCACATGTAAGCCCGTGGCCTAAGATGATCCATAGATCCGCCCAATCAGCGTTAGGGCGATCACTGCTTCACGTGCAAAGACTCTTGCGTGTTCCGTGAAGGCTCCTTGTGCTTGGTGTGCCTTAGCCGATATCTCGCTTGACCACTGCGTTACGCAACTGGTTATGAGCCCACGTGGCTACTCCTGCGGGGAGACGGCACACAAGCGGTAGATCTCAACCAGATCTGAGCCATGGACACTGACTCTCCGCCCGTTGAAGCCACGAATCCTGCACAGCAGGATGTCGTGATGAGCGGACAAGACGCAGGTGTCGGAGGCGGTGAGGGATCTGCACAGATCCAGCCGAACGGCGACGGAAACGCTGGAGCAGCACCGAATGGCGATGAGGCTGGCGGTGAGGCTGGCCAGCCAGGCCAAGGTGACGGCAACAATGCTGGAAACGGCGATGTGGTGATGGTGTCGGAGGAGCAGCGTGCTGCTGCCCTCTCGTCAATCATCGGTGCCCACCTCAACCAGCGTGAGCCGCAGCAGGCCGGTCATACGGCTAACAATTTGACCCTGACGGGCGGCGTGGTGACGAAGAAAGCAGCGGAGTCGGTGGTGGAGCGTAAGAAGCTCAAGCTTCATACCTTCACTGGCGACCAGGCTGGCTTCCCCACGTTCGCGTTTGAGGTGCAGAGCAAGTGCTACGCGGCCAAGATCGGCTACCTGCTCGACAAGAGCAACCGTCAGGCCGGGCGAGCCATCTACGGCACGGTGCAGTACGACGCGGACAATGCTCATCTGCACACGGAGCTGATAGACGCACTGATGGGCACCAACGACGAGCAACCGCCGACAAATCCGCGGGCACTGGCTGTCGTCCAGCAAGGGCCGGCGGGCAACGGTGCGGCGGCCTGGGACGCACTGTTGGAGGCGTTCCAGCCAACGCATGCTGGCGCATGGGGGGATGCCTTCGCGCGGGTGGTGAACTGGCAGCCCGACCTGAAGGGGACCTTTGAGGAGGCGGTGACGAGCTTCACGCATGTGGTGCAGCGCGCGAACGAGCTGCGTCAACTGCAAGGGATGCCCCCGATCGCCGACCGAGAGATGGTCGAGTTCTTCATCCTCAAGCTGCCGGCGTCGTTTGGTCGAGTGCGAGAGGCGGTGGTCATTGACCCATCCGCCAAGCACAACTTCGCGACGCTCCTCAAGGTGTGCCGCCAGTGGGCTGACTTCACAGGGTCGGCCACACAGCAGCAGGGCCAGGGCAGCGGCTCAACGAGTGCGGCGGCCGCGGCGGGTGGGACGGTGGCGGTGGCACAGAAGGTGTCGTTCGTCCCGATCGCCAGGAAGAAGAACAAGGGCAAGAAGGCCACGAAGGGGCAGCCGACGGCACAGCCGAGCGCGCAGACCGGCGTGAGCCAGAAGAGCAAGCAGACGAAGGCGTCGAAAGACGCGTCGAGCAATGGCGGCAAGGCCGGCAAGGGCAAGAAGGGCAAGGGCCTCAAGTGCTGGATTTGCGACAGCACCGAGCACCTCTGCCGCAACTGCCCAAAGCGCGACAACGTCAAGCATCTGCTTGCACAACAAGTACGTGACCACACACACAAGCAGAGGGAGGGCAGTCAGTGCTCTTTGCTTAGCGAGTGGAGTGCAGAGGTAGCAGCTCTGTTTGCCCGTGAAAATGCACAACCTGCAGACACACAGAACAGAGATGTGGCTGGTGCGTTTGTGGTTGGAGTGGCACACTCGTCTGCTATGGATGGATGTGTTAGTGAGCGTGTATGTGACGCACTGAATGATGTGTGTGCATATGCACTGCTCGACTCAGGCTGCACAAAGCATGTCTTTTGCTGCGCTGACCTGTTTGTCAGATGGACACCTCGTAGAGGTTGGCTGAGGGTTGCCGACGGCAGCATGGTACCCATCAAAGGTGAGGGGACGGTCGCACTGCCGATCATGACCCGTGATGGACGCCTGCGTGTCGTTGTGCTAGATGGGTGTCTTCTCGCGCCAAGGCTGAAGAATAACCTGCTGTCGGTTGCTGAGTTTGAAGACAGCGGTTGCTCGATTAGCTTCGGCGAGTTGAGAGCCATCCATGTGCCTGTCGAGTGCGTAGAGGGCCTGCAACAGGACACTGAGTGCTTAGACGTGCCAGTGACCCGATGCGACAACCTGTACGTCTTACCCTTGCGTGTTATGCATGGTGGTGGAACACGGGAAGGGGGGGGCGATGAGGAGGAGAGGGATGCATGCGTGACGGACGCTGATGATGAAGGCTCGTCTCGCCGTTATGTATGTGCATCTCTTCAGCCACAAGTAAATCCATCCATAGGGTGTGAATGCAGCGGTGGGGACGCCCATGACCGTGCATGTCCACTCAATTCATCCCTCGCAGACGCACATAACCGAGGGGATAGTCAGGCGCCCGTGCATGCGCCTGACACACACACAAAGGGCAGCCAACGCCCATGTGTCCTCATCCACCACCGAGTCTGATGTGCATGTGCACGCACCTGCCATCGATGACTCGAGGGGCATAAACCTCCCTAATCCGGAGGAGTCGGTCGATACTGCAGCGTATCGACAGGCGCATGAGCGTCTCGTACACGTGAATGATCGTGTGATGATGCGCCTTCCAGAGCTCGCCACGGGCCTTGATAGTTGGCCTTTGTATCGCAGATACAAGGACGGCACGAAACGGCTCCGGCTGCGGCCCTCACGGGCAGAGGACCCCTGTGAGATCTGCATACAGGCAAAAAGCACACAGCTTCCTCCTGCCACTGACTGTGAGGAGTCGCCTGAGTGTACCCGACCCTTCGAATTGATCCACACAGACATATGTGGACCGATGCCGAAGTCGTCACCAGGTGGCTTTGAGTACTTCATCACGTTCACGGATGAATACACCAAGATGGTGGCGGTGTACATGCTCAGAACCCGTGATGAGTCGGCAGCCGCACTGAGGCGGTTGTGCGGCGAATGGGGCAAGACACCTGAAACAATCAGATCAGATTGGGCTCAAGAGCTCTCTGCTGGTTCGTTTGAGCAAGAGTGTATTGATAGGGGCATCAAACGTCAGTTTAGTGCGCCCTACACACCTCGAGAGAATGGTGTCGCCGAGCGAATGAACCGCACACTGTTGGAGAAGGGGACAGCCCTACTTCTTCGTCATGGCATCACCGAGGCCTTCTGGCCATTCGCCATCGACACAGCAGCATATCTGAGAAACAGAATGCCAACAGAGAGCCTCTCAGAGGACAAAACGCCATATGAAATGTGGCATGGCCGCCGGCCTTACCTTGGCCATGTGCGTGTGTGGGGCTGCCTTGGCTTTGTCCATGTGCGGAAGCCCTTCAGAGCACACAAGTTTGCGGCCAGAGCGGTTCCCATGCTGCTGATAGGCTATGACGTTCGCACGAAAGATGCCTATCGCATGTGGAACCCAAAGACAAGACGCGTCATCATCTCGCGTGATGTTCGTTTCCTCGAGAAGCGTACCTGGCATCGACGACTCGTGCCGGCCAACTGGGAGGCCACCCATAGACTCGGTGGACCCCTCCAGGCCCGCCCCGAGCTTGTCGATGACCACGCGCAAAGAGGGGATGGACTGGCTGACTTGGCGCACCAATCGGGTGTGGTGATGAACCCTGAGAGCGACCCGATTATTGCTGAGAAGCCCGAGACAAGAGATGTTGAGCCCGATGAGCTGGAGGAGCTGGGTGACCTCGATCAGCAAGGCCATGTGCAGGCAGGCGGGGATGAATCGTTCGATGGGCCAAGTGGGGCAGGCGACGTTCAGATGGACGGACAGCCGGGAGCCATCAACCCAGAGAACGACCATGTGGTGGATGGGATGGATGCCGAGCCGGCATCAGGCCGACCAGCCGACCCTGCAGCCGAGCCGAGCGACGCCGACATGGAACTCATGCCGATCGATGAGGGCGAAATGGCTCTCGATCGACGAGCACCACCAGCCCCCCCGCCACGGCGCTCTGGACGCGAGAGGTTGATTCCACGAAGCTTGCACGAGGACCATCTATTCGATGTCCGTGCTGTGCAAGTCGGTGTGGCGAATGGACCAGTTGTCGTACGTCCGTGTGGGGATAGGAAGACAGGAGGGGGCCGGATGGACGCGAAGAGGGGAGGCGAGGGCTGCCGTTGCCGGGCAGTGAAGTCGTCACGATGCATGTGCAATGCTGGCATGACCTCTGACGCACCACCAGACTGGTCACACCTGTTCACACAGCAGTCGAGACAGAGAAGTGCTGGCAAGAGACGCTCACGTGGCCATGGGGGTGGTCTACCTGACCTGTTTGTGAATGCATTCAGCGTCAAGGCAGGACCGATGGCCGACACCGTCTATGAGCCTAAAACGTGTCAGGAAGCCCGCGAAGGGCCTGAATGTGAGGGCTGGATAGAGGCAATGGACAAGGAGCATCAAGCCATGCACGATCTGGGTGTGTTTGAGTACGTCTTACGTGAAGAGGCGGATGGACGAGTGATCCAGGCCAAGTGGGTCTTCAAACAGAAGCCCGACAGGAAGAAAGCGCGGTTGGTCGCCAAAGGCTTCCAACAGCGGCTGAGACCTGACGAAGAGACGTATGCACCTACGATGTCCGGGCAGGCT